GCTGCAGGGACAGAAGCAGCAGCTATACGCGGCCTCGTCCCAGCACTTGCCAGAGGGATAGGCGGGGAACGGGCCGTCGTTTGGGTGCGTCTCCGTCTTCTTCGCCGCCTGGAAGTGGTCCTCATGGGCCTTCTCGATCACGGACAAGGGGACGCCCATGTCCTTCGCCAAGTCCTCGCCGCTGTTGTAGTACTTCATGACCTTCAGCTTGCATGCAGCAGGCTCGCGAATAGCAGCTACACGATTTAGCCGACTGTGCTCCCCACGCCACGCCCGGTGTAATGCCTCTGATGCACCGGCAAATCTCGATGACTCAAGTACACGGATCGGTCGACGATGCAGACACGGTCGGCTCAGCACGCGGCTTGCAGTGCCAGATGATCTCATCGGAGGCTGCCTTGTTGAGGCAGAGCCTGTCCCAAGAAGTACTGCAAGATGTTGTAAGTCAATACTGTATCATGAGAATCATGCGGAGACAAAGCATGGGGAACATGGGGAACATGGGGGAGAAGCAAGGGAGAGACAGACAAAGAGAGAGAGAGAGAGAGAGTGATGGCGAAAATGGACAGGGACTGCTGCTGCACTTCAGCGGCCCTGTGGCTCGACTTTTACTCTCGAACTCTTCGCGTGTTCGTTGGTTGTTTTCATCGGGTAAACACCGAAGAACGCATGGGAAAGACAGAACCAACTCCTGACCTGGCATGTCAAATCTCAGCAGAGCCACCACAGGTTCAGCTTGGGAGGATATCGGGTTTGGAGTCTCTGGCGCAACTGCCCCCTTACTGCTGAATCGCGCGATGACTTCCGACAGTTGCACGGCACCTGAAGGGCGGCTTGCTCTTCCACATCTCACCGGTGACGTAGTCACGGCCTGGGCAGCGTGTTTCTCAATGCCTCTTTCGATCAGAATCCTGCTTCAACAAAAGATGCTATAGCGTTTAAGAGCGTGCTGCAGCACTCCTCGGGGCGTCCTTCGCACGTGAGGCCCCTGCGGCCCAGCTCGTTGCAGAAGCGCTGGCCCTCGGCATTCAGGATGATGCCGCCCACTCCGCGGAGAGCCTAGCAGGAGTCATGGGTCCAGCGGAGCCCGGGACATGCCAATGCACTCGCGCATGTGAGCGCTTGTTTGCTGGCCTCGGCGGCCAGGAACTTGATCTTTGCATCGGCGTCGTCCGGCTTGACGAGNNGGTCGGGTGGACCTGCACCCACTCCAAGTCGATGGTCTTCGCGCCGATCTCCTGAAGGGCAGAGCTCTCGAACCGAGTCAGCTAGCAAGTGAAGGGGGCAGAAGAAGCACCTCGCCCATCTTGATGCCATCGCCCGTGCAGTGCTCGCCGTTGGTGGTGGGCAGGTGCAGCAGGTCGGGACGGTACTTGGCCAGCAGGGAGTTCTGGGTGAAGTCGGCGCCGAAGCCACCTGCCGCACGAGGGTCTGAGTGCAAGCTGACGCCATGGCAGCGAGACTCCCATGCGATTCATACAAGTTTTGAGAACCTGCCTGACGCCAGGATCACGGGGCCGAACTCCTGGAAGTTCTGGCCGCCCTTCTCGTAGACGCAGCCCACGCAGGCGTTCTTCTCCGTCACGAGCTTGAAGACCTTGGCCTTCGTGATGATCCGCGCCAGGTCCGTCTTCTCCGCCACCTGCAGAAGAAACACCGCTCTCCCGGAAAGGTGTGGATAGGTGTGGGTCAGAGGTCTACAGTAAATCCTGATCCTTGGTGCCTGCATGCCTCGGCAGGAGCCAGGCCGGGGCCCGTTGTATTGCCGATGCTGCGAGGCTTCTTCACAGGCACGCAAACCCAGAAACCTGAATCTGGGCACAAATCCCAATGCCTTCTCCAGCATCTGGATCAAGGCGTAAGTAATGGTCATACCAGGGAAGCGCTCCTCATATCGCCGTGCTGTCGAGGAGGATGGCATATTCAGGCATTGGAAGTGAGTTTCGGGGCTTTTTGCAAGGTTTCTGGGGCAGGGCTGGCGTACAGCCAGGTCGGGGCATGTCATGCTCCAGAGGTGTGAAGCTTATAGAGAATTAGTGTCACCGATTATCTAGACGCCGATATCACGGCATCCGTGTCTGAGGTCTACAGCAGTTGAAGGACAAACTCCTAGCAACTCAGTGGAAAGATTTGCTAAGGCAACATTTGCGGTAACTCGTGCATCCCTCATAGGCCGGAAACAGTAACAGCATGCCCCAAACCAAACCTTGCAGCATCAAAATTTAGAAACACCTGAACCCTGAATCGAACCATAAGGGCACATTTTGCACCTTATGAACGAGCCTGGCGCGGCAACTCTGCAAAGCCACCAAACCTTGAAATTTGATGTTGCTTGAGACATGCAAGTCCGTAGGCCACGACTCGAGTGAAAAGTGTCAACCCGTTCACACGAAACCCCAAACTGAGAGCGCAAGCCCTGAAGCTTCAAAACCATTAAACTAAACCTCTTGCCGACCCAAGCCCCGAAACTCAAGACCACGAAAAGGACCCTTGATCGTGAGAACCCCTAGGATACTTTGAAACCCTCAGGAAGCCATAGAGAACACTGGAACGGAAAGAGACTCCAAAACATCCCGCCACCGTCCTTCCCGCGGTGTGTCCGGGGCTGGGAGTGGCCACCCAGGCGGGCGACCAAAGAGAGGTCCAAGTTGAATTTGTCCACCAGCCAGTCCTGGGCAAGAAGGCTTAAGGTTCGGATTTTAGAGGAGCCACGGCGGCGCTTAACTAGGGAGTTTACCTTCCTCCATGTTGTGGTGTCCACCTGCCTCTCTTGTGTGGCTGGGATTCTCGATAGCAGAGACTTTGTGTTCGGGAGCTCAAGGAGTTTTGAGGCTTAAGGACCCGGAATGCCTCTTTTGCAGGGTCCTTTGGAGTTTTTCGAGACTTTAAGACTTAAGGTTTGGGCTTGGAGTGGGCTTGGGTTCTGGGAACCCCAAAACCCTAGCCCATAGGCCCTTGCAATTAAGGGTCGGTGGCTTTGCAGGTTTGGGAACAACAAACATCTCAGCGCTTCGGAGGGCTTTGGGGCTTGGGAAGCAGAAGATGGAACCTTAAGCCCTTCGGGTAGGGTCCAGGGCTTGAGCAGCGCTTCAAGCCTAGAGGCTTCGACTTAGAGTTGAGAGTCCAAGCCGCAGCTCCTACTGCTCGGAGCACCGCCAAGCCGCAACATAAACTGCTGCCAGGCATCCACATCATCTGCGCTGTTCACGCACAAGAGCCTCGGAGTAAATTCGTAACGGATGCAAGACGAAGCCCTTGTGATAGCAGGAAGCGGCTGTTCCTGGATGAGGTGCCCAAAGGTTCCCAACCAAGCTTGCTGTTTGATCTTCGGGCTTGCGGTATACGGTGAAGCCTTAAGTTCTGAATTCAAGGGCCCCGACAACTAGAATAGCATAGCTGGCATAGGACCACAGGGAATATCATAACGAATTATTCAACCATCCCTGCAGCCATTGCGGGGAACTCAGCAGGGCAGCTTCCACGTGGAGGGGACAGGGAAGGGGACCCACGGCCTCGGCAGGGCTTTAAGCCTCAATGGTGAAGGCCTGAAACCTTCAAGAATAACCTGAAAGGCCCTAGTAGGTTCCGGAGCCAAGGAACCCGGAACGCGCGAAAAGAAGAAAGGGTCGAAGGTTGGGGCTTAGGACTTGAGGTTTGGGCTTTCGGTCACTCGCTCTGGTGACTCTAGTCGTGCCACATACCCCAAAAACCCAACCCTCTCCGCCCCTTCACCCTAAACCAAACCTCAGACCCTAAACCCTAGACCGTCGACCCTAAACCCCAAACTAAGTGAACGGCTTAGCGAGCTCCGGCTTCTTCGCACCGCCTTTTAGCGTGTCCTCGACATCGAGACTCCAGTATCCCAGCTATCACAAATCATGGTCCCTTCTGCATGCTTCCTTTTGCAAAGCTGTTAGTCATCGTAGGCACCTGGATGCAACGCTGATCTGGAGCAACCCGAATACTTTCCTAGCACGAGGCTCTGTCAAGAATGCCTCCGAAAACACTGCAGGACAGGGTCCTGAGTGAAGATCTCAGCGTTGTCTGGGATGCCCTTGGCTTTCTGTGTCTTGGTGCCTCTGCAGTTCAGGGGCGTGAGACTTCGAGGCTAAGACTCAGGCACCTTCAAGATCTTCTGAGGCTGCAGCTCGGAGGTTTCGATGGCTTCGAAGTACTTACAGAAAGCTCTGCGCCCGGAATTGTCGACCTACCAACCTGAAACGCAAAGCCCGAAAGCCACCCGGAAGCATCCCCACCTGCACCCTCGGCCCTCGAAGCTAGAGTGACGAAGTTCTGAGCAGAGATCCAAAGGTAAATTCATCATGGAACCCTGAGGAGTCCTAATCTTTGGCTCCCACAAACCCTCAACAAACCTCGGGTGCCGATGCCACGAACCTAAAACCTCGATCCCGCACCGAAGCTTTTCATGGTTTTGGCGCTTCGGGCGTCGGGTGACTCGGGTTTATGGTTAGGCCCTTGCAGACCGGCCTGCGCCGTTGATGCCGGAGGTCGCTTTGGTGCTGTTGCCGCCGCAGAAGGACGACTTGTCCTCTATCGTGCGGACAGCTCAGGTTGAAAAGGAGGTGTTGCATTTTGCCGATTCGCTTGCCCAGGGCTGGAAATTATGCGTGCTTGGGTTTTCGAGGTTTGGATGTCAGGGTTTCGGGGGTCACAAGGGCGGAGGAATTTGCGGACGACTCAAAGCGATTGAGCTGCTGGAATACAAGTACAGGACGTAAGCTTCGGGTATGACACCCTCTACGGTGCGCTGCGGGATTTAGAGTAGTCTTGGCGAGGCCCTGGCCAGCAGTACCACGCGACCGCCATGCTCAACCACAGTGTTGGCGGCAGACATTCCTGCCCAAAGGGAGGGGATCAGAAATTGCGAGTACTACTGTCAGTCTGCTATCATTTGCTAACCACGAATGTGGCTTTGTCGTTTGTCCGTTCTGTACTATTCCCGCCTCTGACGCTAACAATGAACTGCCGCTGCTGCTGCTGCGCTGCTTCTGCCGCTGCTGCTTCTGCTGCTGCTGCTGCTTCTCCTCCTGCTGCTGCGGCTGCTGCTGCGGCTGCTGTTGCTGCTGTGGTGAGCAAGATGGAGACGATGATGATGACGGTGATGATGGCGATGACGAAGATGATGAGGAGGAAGACGATGATGATGATGATGATGATGATGATGACGATGATGATGCTGGTGATGGCGACGGTGATGGTAATGATCATGATCATGATGGCCGCGGACAACATGTTTGTGCCACCGCCACCGCTGCCGCCGCCCCCACCGCCACCAGCACCATCACAACAACGCACCACCACAACCACAGCCAGAACCACAACCTCTTGCAGAAACACAACCACCACAACGACCACCAATGCCGTCGTGGGCTCACCTAGGACCCATTGGTATCCCGTCGGGCTAAGGCCCCTTCAAGCTGGAGCTGCACAGGACGCAGTAGTCTAGACAGTGCAGGGTTCAGGGTTTGCAAGGGTAGAGTTTGGGTTTTGGACTTCCAGTCCTTAGGGTTTACAGGTTCAGGGTTTAGGCTTCCGCTCTCGGTTTTAATCCCACGGGCCTCCCAATCCTCCTCCGACGACGATGGCTTGATTGGTTGGAAAAGAAGACGCCATGGCCGCCACAAAATCTGTGGCAGTTAAGCGTTTTGGGTTCAGGTAGGGCAGATCTTCAGGCAAGTCAATATCACTAGAGACACTAGAGACTCAGTATCACGCGAATTGCATGTACGGCCTGTAAGAGTCCTGCACCTTGAACCTTAAGCCATCCACACCCGAACCATAAATTCGAAATACTGTAAACCCTACACCGGCACCTTTGACCTTTAAATCCTAAATCCTAAACCTTTAGACCCAAATCTTACACCCTAAATCTTGTGCCCCGAAGCGGATCTTTGCAGATCCCTTGAAGGAGCCGGTTGCTTCAGCTTGTGCTTTCAGCATCTTGGAATATTCAGGGTTGACAGTATGGCTTCTTCAAGCCTAGGGTTTGGGGTCTTCGAGCTGGGGGCTCTTTAGGGCATCCGGAAGAGTTGAAACAAGTTTCGGGTGATGCAAGGCTTCGCAAACAAGTTGACTTGCAGCTCGGAGCAGGATTCAGGAGGAAGCAAAGCAGAGCAAACTGAACGATATCATTCCTGGGGTTTCCCCCACCTTTTTTTGTTGTACGCCACCTCCAGGAACTTAGTCAAATCACTAAACTAGTCACTATATGGCCTCGATGGTAGGTGCAAAGGCTTAGGTCACCACGGACTCGGAATCATGAGCTTGGTCATCGTCTTCGGGGTAGTACTAGAAGGACTCATGATCAAGGCATCCCTTAACTTGAAAACCGTTCTAAAACCCCGTGCTAATGGATGGCATCTTGGCGCTGTCCGCAACCTCCCATCCAAAACCCAGAACGGCTTTAGCTTGAGGGTTCGGGAGCTGAAGGTTTAGGGCTAGGGTCTCGGATTCATTGTTAAGGATTGAAGCGACAGAAATGTTGAAAAAGAACCCAGCTGCTTGTCGATGCAATGTTGACCTTGCAAGCCCACAGTCCCTTGAAGCTCCCCAGGCAAGTCCTTCATAATTACGAGCCCCGGCACCTGCTGTTGCCAAGCTTCAGCGAAGGGCTATCCGATGACCTTCCGGGGGTTGGCCCCTCAACTGTATCCTCCATGACTGCCCTGCCTGTTTTTTGTCATCCATACTCTATCACTGGCACTTTGGAGATCGCTGCTTCAGGCACTGCTACTGCGGATGGGGCTCAACGTGCGACTCACTTACCACCATGCTGCACTACGCTACTTTGTACCAAAGCCGCATACCAATGGTTTAAGGAGCAGCCCCGGCACCTTCTGCGTCACCGGAATGCGAGACACCCCCCGCGGGAACAAAAATGGCTTGCGGCACAGCGCCCGCAGTGAAGGTGGTGCTAAAGAATGCTGCGACGTGATGCTTCAGGATTCAGGTTGACGGTTGTGTCTCGCCGTGATGAAGAGAGAGGTGCTTCACGGATGTTGAGTGGCACGGTGAAGTCTGCAGCTGGCATGCCTTTGACTTCTTACGGGGAACGATTGAAAACTTGCAGAAGGGTGGCCAAAGACTGAAAATCAACGTCTTAAAATGCAGGGTCGGGGGTCCTCCTTGAGCACGAGTTCCGGGAGTGAGAACCCTTCCCAGGCTCAGGATTTGAAGTTCGATCCTATTGTGCAGTACAACTAGAAGAGGCATCTGCTCAAAACCTCAGGCCTTTGCCAAAGCCGCAGCCTGAACTTCACAGCAGGATCTGGAGCTCAAGAAAGTGTTCTTCATGTAACTGGTTGTTATTTTCATAGAGCCCACAAGACGGCACCACACGAAGTCCCCTTGCAGGATTGTTTGGCTCTACACCCCTAGATCCTAGAGTTGGAAAAACTAACCATAGATCCTAAAGAGACCCTAAACCCAGCTTCTAACCCCCACTGACCCTACATCCCAAACCCTAATCTGCACAGCCCCAAACCCCCAAACTTCCCTAAGCACTCGAAGGTTCCACGCGCGGCTTCACTGTGAAACCACCAAGGCCCGGCCGCCACACGGGGCTCCTTGGGAGCCCCCGGGATGCTTCGAAAGGCCAAAAAGCTGCGGTACGGAGCTGGGTTTTTTTGGTCCAGAGCTGCAAGGCCTCCTCAAACTCGTGGATTCAGGGGCTTACCGTAGGGTTTCGGTGTGTCACGGAATAGACCCCGAAACAGGGCCAACTTGAATCACCAGACCCCAAGAGCAAAGACTTGACTAGATGCAAACTGCTTTGATTGAGTTGAACGTGTTGGTTCAGAGGTTGCCTTTCGCATTTGTCGGCTCCGAAACCGTAAACCGCAGACCCTAAAGCCCGATATGCGGGACCGCAGGAAAGCAAGTTGCTTCACATCTGTATTACATCGGCATCTTCTTCGCTCTCGTTCGAGACGCACGACCTCCAAAGGGCTTGAGCTAAGGTTTAGCATCTTGCGTTACTGATCCCAGGGTGTTGCTGGCTTAGGATTTTGAGTTGATGGAGAGTCCAGTTCTGTGGTGGGTCCAGGGGTCACCCACTGGTCATTTGACGCTTAAACACTTTTCAACAACCACCAGGACCGAATCGAAACGTCCCGACGCACCTGAGACCAACAAAAAACCTAAATCCCAAATCCCGAACCAGCCTGGCTAAGGCCAAAAATGCCTTAAGAGTGCCTGAAGAGTCAAAACAAGGCTTCGGGCAAGCCAGGGCAAACCCACTAGAAAAACCCTAGAGCTGAAGGGTGCGAAAGCCGATGTATTTACGGCTATACGAGGAACTCTGGAAACGATTCTGAACTGAGCCCCGGTACAGACTGCAAAGCCAGACATCCACTGGCACAAGGATCAAATCGAAATTCGAAGAAGCTTAGAAGCCTTCGGATCTAAAGGCCCTGATGTGACAACAACGAGAACAAGCGATGGAATCAACACCAAAAGCTCGAGTAGTCGGTAGCCAAACTCACCGCACTAACTGAAAGTGTGATGGCGCCATGGCCTAAGCGAGTGCGCTACCACAGCAACATCAGCAACGGCAGCCGTGTAATGATGATGGTAGCCGTAGCGGGGCCGTCACAGTTGCAGAAGCAGCAGCAGCAGCAGTGATAGTAATAGTAATAGTAATA